GGCCGCTAGCTGTTGGATTACCGGAGACAGAAGGCGGTAGCGCGGACTTCTCAGGGATTTGACGCGAAAGAGAGAAATGTAATTAGAAGCAAATGAACAAAATAAAAATAAAAGCATTATTATTAGAATATTGACAAGCGGGGGGATAGGGTTGCTAAATCGGATTCGTATCCGAGAATATCCGTAATCATATTCGTTAGGATACGGATATGGTTACTTAAATCTATAACCGATAGGATATGATTACGGATATGATTTTGTAGTAAAATATCCGGATCTATATCCTAAATATCCGAATATATATTAGTCATGCTCTTACGATAATTTTAATTCTTACATTATAGATTTGTAGTCAATTTTGATGATCAAGATATCTAATCTTAGCTTTTCGGTTATAATGAACATATTAAAGAACTCTTTTGTATCACATGAACTATGTTTTTCTTAATACTATCTAGTTTTCTCATATCTGTTTTGTATCCGCATGCATATGCATTTATATATCCGCATGCATATTCGGTTTTAGCGGATATGGATATGAATTTTCCTTATCGAGTTATATCTGTATCCGTTTCTGAAATAGGTAAGCGGATATGAATATGATAAGTATTATATCCAAGCCGTATCCGCACCGAATGCACCCTTAAGTGGGGAGCATATTTCATTGGTCGGCGTATGTACTCTATTGATGGACATGGATAAATCTCAAACATAAATCTCCAAACACCAAGTGCTTAACCGCTATGGCACCAAGGTAGCTTTAGATTCTCTTAATGTAAAATCAAAATAATTTGAACTCAATTTACACATATATGTCCTTCGTCAGAGTTTAAATCCATAACACATCCATTAAATTTCGTTTGTCTAGTTTCATTTTTGCAGATAAAGACCCCCGGTGATTTTTACCAACTCTTTTACCTTTAGGGAGTCTACTTGTCAAGAAACAAGAGAACTCTTGAGAGTAATGAAGTCAAAAGAAATTCAAGATTATTCTCAAAAAACAAGTTTCTCTCTCTCAGGGTAATGAAGTCAAATGATTTTCACTTGGGGTTTTTGTCTGCAAAAAAATAAAAATAAAACTAGGGGTGTTGTAAGTTTAAAACAACAATACCACTACAAGGGTTCTATCCGTAATTTACCCTATAATAAAAAGGCTCGAAAATGTATTATACTTGCAACGCAACAATCTGAAACCTATAAAGTACAACCCAAATCCACTTCACTGAACTAGTATCTGAAGCTTAATAAACCATAGGAACAACCATAAAACAAATCAGAAACTAGGGTTTAGTAGAAAATATTACATACATGATAACTAACTAATAGAAAAAACATTGTTTTCACGTGCACCAAGTTATAGAGGATCTCCAAGAGAAACTTCTGCTTCCAAATTTGCGCAGTATGCTCCACAGGGTTTAACAGAGGTAATAATAGCAAGATCGAATGCATCACAAACATGGGGGAACATTTAATTATCAAAAGCAAGAAATTATTGTGCTAGTATACGCATAGAACAAAATTTTTTCCTTTATACAGAAAAGAATGGGGGGCTCTCCCACAAATGTCTAAAGCAAGATTATGGATTGCCAATTGGAACTCACTTGAACCAGGTAAACAAAGAACATGGAACCGTGTTGTGTTCATGGTTCGCTAACCGCTTCTGCTGCGAAGAATCTACGGCTAATTGCAACTGGATAAGCATGTTCTTGGGTTTTGTGCTTAATATGCGATAAGTAGGAGGGGATGAGAATATATCGTCATCAAGTTGCATCAACATAAAGAACAGGAACCAGTCCGGATTTTTTGCCGTCCCTCCCAGGCTGTTTTTTATTAACCTGCGTCAATATAGTAGCGTTAAGGGCTTGACTGCTCGTGACACCTGAAAATACATTGTCTCATCTACAAGGGTTTTTTTTGTATATACACCCCTTAAATCATGCATACTGGCAACATTAACCACCAAATCTCCATATATGCGAAACTACCCCCAAATCATCAACTTTGA